CGCGATGCAATCAGGAATTCTGGGGTTACTTCTGGAGACCACCTCATCTTTCTGCACTGCAGCAGGTTATGAAATGTGCTTGTTTACTCTCTTGGCAGCTCGTTGATTCCCAGAAACATCAATCTCCAGCATCCGCACACGCCAGTAAGTCAACAGAGATTGGAGTTGTTAAAGGATAACGTTCAACTCTTTTGTAAAGGAAAAACTGATTAAATGCTGTAGAACTCATACGCCAAAAAATCCAGCTTTTGGATCTAAATGAAAGTGTAGTCAAGAAACTTTAAAACTTGTTAGGCGCTTAATATGTGAGCTTTTATAGATGTGGTTAGCTTTCTCACACTAAGACGTCCTTTTATTAAATTAGAATTTATAGACAGACTGCTTTTTCAGGAATTTTATCATCTACATGGCAGGGAAAGAAACAACACAGTTTTCCTACCTGCTGTGCAGCACTCATTCACACGGGTTTTTTTCTTTTTATTCTAATAGATACCTACAGTTACTAAAACATTATTTCAAATCACAAGATGCTTGCTTCCTCTTTGTGTCAATAGCGTCCAGCTGCAAAGTGAACCATTTTCTGTTTTAACTTGAAATGTTGTGATAAAATATCAGCTTGCAAAAGCAAACATTCACTTTAAGTTTGCCTGCATGAGTCGACATTCACTGTCCCTTCACGTGAGGGAAAAGCTGTGATGCAGATTGAAAGCGAGACTCAAGCTGATCCCACATCTTTTTCTAATGAATCTGCTCCAAAGGTGAACGTTCTTAGTGGGTATGGATAGAAAGAGGGTCAGTGTGTCTCTTTATACAGCCACCGTGCACATTAACATAACATATCTCTCAAAAAGTGCCTGCAAAGCACCAAGTGCAGCTGCACAACCAGTTCTCTGTCCCAACTTCTTCCCTCCCACTTTACTCATCTATCCTCTGAGGATTTTTTTTTTTTTTTTTTTGCACTTACAATGGTGCTTCCAAGTGTGCACGTTTCGGTGCCAGCAGAGGCTTGCTGCCAGACTTTACCCACATAATGAAGTGAGCAGACTTAAATGCCAAGCAGACATCCTTTGTTACAAGTGCAGGAAGTTCCTTGGGTCTCACACAAATAAATAGAAGTTGGGTCCGATCTATCACAACACACGAGGGAGGTTCTGACCTGTCGCTTGCATTTCTGCTGATTGATTAGAAACTTAGCAAACTTTACTATAGATTTCTTTCTTACTTTCTCTTGTTAACTTGTTTTAAAAGGAGGGGTTTTGCTGAGAATAAGGAGCAGAAGGAGTGTCCTGCAGGCAGCCTCCCTTCACGGCTGTGATTGGTTGAGGCTGTTGTGAGTGAATCCAGGGGAGGCCAGTAGGAAGATGAATGGTCTGGGAGCCTGATGGGGGGGCAGGCAGTGGAAGAAAGCAGCTACCACTGGCTCTTAAAATCAAGGTACTCTTCTTTACAGCCACAGACTGATGCAGAGCAAGAGTGGACTGGAGTCAGCATTAAGAGAGGGGGAGATCAGGTGGGTGAGAAACTGTGAACAGGTTCATTTAGAGAAATAAGTGGTCCTACTCGTCTGTCCCTGACTGCTGCATCCCCAGTTCACTACCTGAGGCTTACATCCAAACACAGAGAGGTGTTTCAGGGAAGCTTAAAAGGGCTGACTCCTTAGGGAAGAAGGGAATTAAACTTTTTGTTTAAAACCCGCCGTGACTATTCTCTGGAGAAAACAAAAGGGATTACAGCTTGTACGCCTGCCCCACTTGTTCTTATCTTCTGAGCATTTTGTCTTCACTGGATTACTTCACTGAAAGACTTTTTGGATACGGCCTTCTTGCATTTTGTGTGTGTGTGTGTGCGTGTGTGTGTGTTCAGAAAGGCATGGCACATGGACAAAAAAGCCCCGGGTTGGCATTAACCCAGGGTTTCTTCAGCTTGGCACTTGGCCTGTCGCTCTTCTCCCTCCTCCTTTTCACCAATGTGGCTGCAGATGAGTACGACTACTACAGCTGGCAGTCGGACAACTTCCATAACGGCCGTTTCTACACCAAGCAGCCCCAGTGTGTGGACATACCAGCTGACCTGCGCCTGTGCCACAACGTGGGCTACAAGAAGATGAGGCTTCCCAACCTCCTGGACCACGAGGTCATGCCAGAAGTCAAACACCAGGCGGGCAGCTGGGTGCCACTTCTGGCTAAGAGGTGCCACGCGGATACACAGGTGTTCCTGTGCTCGCTCTTTGCACCTGTGTGTCTGGACCGACCCATCTACCCTTGCCGCTCGCTGTGTGAAGCTGTCAGGGACAGCTGCGCTCCGGTGATGGAAACGTACGGCTTCCCCTGGCCAGAGATGCTGACCTGCGACAAGTTCCCCATTGATAATGACCTCTGCATCCCCATGCAGTTCACTGGGAACCATGCAACCCAGCCACCAGGTAGGGCACCAGCGTTCTCACTCTCATAATAAAAACAATAAGTGAAATTTATGGCACAAACAGKAGGCAGCATGTAAACATGACAATTTTCTGAAACTATAATTTTATTYTCAGCTATAAATCACATGAGCTCAACTGTTATCAGTTTAAATCTTATGTTTCCAATAAGTGCAACAAACCAAAATGTCTTAAAATTTTGATGAAAAAAGTACTAAATAAATAATTAAAAAAGGTTAAATGGAAATAAATACTCATGACGTGCAGAAATCATTGCAAAGAAATCAGCCTTAAAGAGGAAAACCTCATGGATAATATAATATTTCTCTATTAAAATTTTAGGGATTGTAAACCATTATTTAATCTGCAGACTTACATATTTGAATATATATACAGGAGTCTCAATAATTCAATGATATGGAGGCTCATTTAGTTGCTCTGCACTGCAGCACTGACACGAATGTTTAAGTAAAAGTCTTTCGAGAGGCTGTCAGAGAGCGAGACAGAAGCAGGAAAGTGACTGAGGGGGGAAATTTCCTGAGTAATGGARGGTTCAGAAGAAATCATAAACCTTGGAGAAAGATGGAAATGGGAAACTTGGAGACTGCAAGGAATAGAGACCGAGTTAAGATAAATTGATGACACACACATTTTAACTGGCCCCCAAAAAAGGGGTAAGACACACACATACACACACATGCACACTCAGCCTTATCAGGAAATGTCAATCTACACCTAATTCATCAGTCTAATAACAGTTCATGAAGGATGTTTGATCAGATGCTGCTCTGCTTCATGATACAAAATGAACTTATGGACAATATGACATGTTTGTATACATTTCTAAGATGGGCAAGAAAAAAAACAAGAATGGGCCTCATGAAAATGAGTGGGAACTTTTTAGAAATGTGTGCGTGCGTGCGCACGCGTGCGTGCGTGTGTGTATGTGTGTGTCACAACTACCTAAAGCAACCTTTTCACAAAAGAAGTCTGAGCTATAGGAGAATCATTGAGTTCTTTTTTTAAGAGATAAAGACTGAGGATTGTCCCCACTGTGTCCCAATCCACTCCACTTTTGTTGGYTCTGGCAGACAGTGGGCCAATTAACTACAAGGCCAATTACCGAGCTCCGATAATTAGTCGACATGACAGAACAAGAGGAGCGGGCAGAGAATGGTAATCTCTAAAGTATGATTGTTCCTGATAGAGATGAATAGAGTGAAAGGACAGGGACGCAGGAGAGTGAGGGGAAGCAGAAAAGCTTCTTCCTGCAGACTAATAATTGTCCAACTCTTCACTTTTTTTAAGAGTTTGAAGAAAGCTTTTTATTCCCCACGTTGTTCAATCACCAAATTTAACTGTTTGTTGCCATTTCTTGACTACTTCACTTTCCTTCTCCCACGTGGTGAAATTTTATTTAACACATGTTTAATTTGCCTCACTGTTTTTAATAGATGCTACTAAATTTCACAGCAGTCAAGTCTATAAAACTAAATGCATCTTTATCCTGCAGCTGTCTGACAAATCTTCACTAGTATTAATAAAGTTTACAGGATGTTGATAAGTAATTAACAACACTTTATTTTAATAAGCCAGAAAATATTGTTTAAGGATTTGCAGGTGAGTTAATGTTTTTCCCCCTTGAGGGAAACCTGCTGCTCTGTTTTTCTAGGATTGGTATCAACTATGCAACATCTTGGCTCTGCAGAATCATAATTTATTATTTTATGTACCTCAAGAAGAAAACAGATTAAACTGTATCTACACTGTAAAAAATATCCATCTAACCAAGTTTTAGAATTTTATATCCAGCCAATAAAACAGTAAACAATAAACAATAAAATCTTTTCAGTCTTGTTTTGAGACTGGTTTACTAAATAAGAACTGAATTAATCTTATCAGAACGTATAAGATTATTCATTTTGTTAGCCTGGAAATTTGACTCAAATAAAGTGAAAAAAAACTACCAATGGAGTAAGAAATTTTTACTCGGTAGGATTCTTGAKATATTTGATTTYACTCAAATTTTTCTTATTTCAAGAATCTTACCAAGTGCAATTTTTTTACTCCCTTGGCAGAATTTTTCACTTAATTTGAATCAAAGTTCTGATAACAGAATTCTTAATCTTACACCTTCTGTTCTTGTTTAGTAAATCAGTCTCAAAAGAAGAACAAAAAAGATGTTTTGGTTGGATATAATATTTTAAAACTTGGTTAGATGGACAGTTTTTCAGTGTATACTGCCTCCACAATCAGGCATGTTATTGTTTATCTCATTCAAATAATAGTCAGAGGCTGCTAGATTATAAAAAATTTAAAAAAATTAATAAATACACAAATCAGAACAAAAATAGAAATGATGTTTTCTTCTTTCTGGTTTTAAACAACATGACATAAAAACAAACTACAAACAGTCAAGTAAAAGGTATTTAACAAATTATATTTGGGCGCGTCTTTGTGTCTGTGGTGTGTTTGAAACTGAGATTGAACCCATATCACTTCCACCCCGAAGGCTCAGCCACTGACATTTTGTTAAAAATGAGAGATTCTCAGATGTGCCGAAGAGGCCATCCTGAGGACA